AACTTTATTGAACCTGTTTTAAACTTTATTGAACCTGTTTCTAACTTTATTGAACCTGTTTTAAACTTGATTTAACTGGTTTCTAACCTTCTTTTGTACAGTGCAGTTTGTTTCTTTAACTCTCAGGATCAGCAGCAGCTTCTAAACCATAAAAGTCGATGAGATCTGCTCGTGTTTTGGAGATAACAGAAGTATGTTCCCCTCCTTCAGTTCTGACTCGTGAAGAACCTTCTGTTGGTTCTGAATCCCACCAGATCAGCTGGAGGCCATGGTTTGAGCGTCTCGGTGTTTCTCACCCCTTTGAAGCTGCTGCTGACGGCGTTGGCCACCGCCGGACTCCGACTCTCCACCAGCAGGTCGAACATCTGCGACAGAAGCTTCTGCTGAACCTTCTCGTCTCCGAGAGCCGAGAAGAACGACTTGGTGATCTGCAGAGACGACGGAGAGAAAAAGGTGAGAAGACGAACCCAGAAGTGGATCCATCGCCTTTGTTCTGATCAGAGAAACGTCCGTCCTGTTGCTTCAGAACCGCTGTGTATCTCCTCTATCTGGAGCTCGGGCTAGAATCACAGGATGCATGTCTCTGTGTTTTAACAACCCAACAGTCACATCAGGACTCCTGGTTTTAATCCAGAAGCTGAACTAGTTCTAACTCTCAGCCCTGTAGACCCGGTTCATGTCTGCTGGTCTGGGTTTTACGGGGAGTTTTAGACACGTTTCCAGTTGATCAGCGTTAGACCTGATTGTATCACAGGTTCCCACGTGTTATACTCGTACTTTATTCCAGTTTTTCTCTGGTTCTGACCCGTTTATTGCTGTTCCTGCCTCCGGCCCATTCAGGAGGTTCTGGTTGCTGCGAGTTTTGCTGTGGCGGAAACATATATTCATATATTTACGTCTGTGCTGTGGTTCCTGGTTTTGTTCCTGTAAGTCTTGGTTCTAAACGCTGCTCCACCCCCAGACTCACCCTCCATTACCCCGGTTCTGCTCCTGATGTAAACAGAATCTGATCTGGTTTCATTTAATCTAAAGGATCATTCTGTACATTCTGACCCTGATTTATCTCCGGTTCTGACCGGTGCCGTCCTGACCTGCTCCAGAGCGATGATCTGGCAGCTCGGTACGTCGGGGTGCTGCTGGTTTGGCGTCCTTAGAGCTCGGATGAACAGGTCCAGACAGTTCTGGTCCTGGGCCAGCAGGGGCGCCGACGCCTCGTCGAACTTCCCCAGAACGAGCTGCATCAGCCGGGCTTCGTCCCGCAGCAGGGTGGGGGTGTCGGGTCCGGTCTCCAGGAGCCGGTCCAGGATGGGCAGCAGAGCTGAGAGGACGGACTGAGAGGAACAGGTGGTCCGATTATTGATGACTGATTATTGATGAAGCACCTCTACACACTGCTGGACACAAAACATTTCAACTGATCAATCATTGCAATTAAACCCAGAATAAACATAAGGGACAGACTGATCCGGACCGGAGACCCACGTCAACGGTATGAACGGACTGAAGGACATGAAGGTGTTCAGCTTCTTCAACTGCTCAGTATTTTGTTCATCAAATGTGTCAACGTCAGAAGTTTCTTCAACATAAATCATTTTCTTCATCATGCTGACGGAACAAACATCCGTCTGAGCCTGATGTCAGAAACACGACACGTGATGTTTCATCATATTCATCACCAGGTTTCTCAGTTATTCATCTTTAAATGTCTCACTCCGTCAAACACAAACTTTTGTGTTTACAACGAAGGACGGACGAACTCTTCTGAAGAGGATGGAACCAGAGACCATCTGCTTCCTTCCCGCTGCTCATCTCTGTAAATGAAGAAGTCCATAACTCGGTGCAGGTTCAGGTGTGCTGCTGCTCTCACCTGTCCGCTGACGTTGCCCAGCGCTGCCAGCAGGGCGGCGCTGCTGTACGACGGGCAGCTCGTCGCCTGGACGCTGGTCAGCAGCTGATGCATCGACGCCTGAAGCTTCTTCGATTTCCTGGAAGAACTTTCGGCGTGAAGAACACCGAGGAGCTGCAGACGAGAACACGAGGAACGATGAAGACGGCTGAAGAAACGCGCCTGAAACCAGAACCTGTCCGGTCCAAACAATGTCTGGACCTTTCTGTGGAAGTCTAGTGTTTATAGCACCATTAAAACAGGAAGTGTTCAGCTCGTAAACTTCAAATACGTCAATATGTGTATAATTAAACGGTTTAATTGTTACCTGTTAATTATAAACCTCAGTTTATGACAACAAACTCATTTATTTAACTGGATTTTACCTCTTTTTCAGGCCTGGTTACTAGGAAAGTTTATCGCAGCTTTTACTGGAGTTAATCTCTGGTTTAACTCTAGTTTATTCCTGGTTTGACTGTAGTTTTTTGCTGCTATAAATATTATTTGATCCCTGGTTTAATCGTAGTTTATTCCTGGTTTAGCCACTGGTTAATCGGTCTAACTTTGGCTGTTGTGGGTTTAAACTTGTCATATCTTGTTTTAGGGTTTTTATAAGATGCTAATCCTGATATCGTCCCTTTAAACCTGCTTCTGTGTCTTTAAATCCAGGCTATAAACTGTTTTTAACTTTGGCTTCATGCCTGATATAAACCCAGTTTATATTTCTGGTCAAATCTAGAATTATCTGTGGTTTAACCCTGATTTTAACGGTTCATTGTCCTGGACTGTCGTCTTTCTCTACTTTAGATAAATGAAAGCTGCTGTCTGTAACTAAACTAATGGATTCACTTTGGACTCCTGTTAAAACAGAACTAACAGGGATCCAGGGTCTAAGGAGCCTCACCTGGATCAGGTACGCCGGGTCGGCGATGATCTCCTCTGACGTCTTCAGGAGCCTCTCTGTGATTGGCTGGAAGGGGGAGGAGGCTCCCGACAGGGCGGTCAGGGCGCTGAGGGCGGCTCTGCGGACCTCACGGACCGGAGACAAGAGGCAACACAACAGAGACGGAACCACTGAGAAAACAAAAACACACAAACATCAACAAGTTCATTAAAACCAAAGTTACTGTAAAGCATCAGGCTCGTCTCCAAACGTCTGATTAACACCGAAGCACCGACTGGGACAGTGGACTCACGTTCAACCGCTTTAATCATTTCAAAGGTTTTCTCTGCCGTCTAAACGGAGTCAGATGCTGCTTTAAAAAGTCTGATTGACGGCAGCACGTCTAGCCAAAGCATCGGCTTCTAACATCTGGATCACATTAAATTAGTCAGAACGGTGAAAACGTTGAACCGACGAGTCGTTGGTCGGAACCACAAAATCAGAACAAAACAACTGTGCTGTTTATTGTTTATTATGCATGTTTAGATGTATATTGTTGTTGTTTGTGTGTCTGCAGCCCTGACAGGAGTGACCGTCTCTCTCTCCGTCCTACCCGGTGAGTCGGCGGCGGCCAGCTGCTCCAGCGTGGCGTCCGGCTGGTTGCCCAGCAGAGCTCCGCCCACGTAAAGAGCTTGAGTCTGCAGGACCACGCCCACCTTCACGTCCAGCTGGTCGCCGTGGTTACTGCCGTATCCCCACAGGACGCTCAGGAACCTGAAGAGCGCCGCCGGCTCCCCGAGGTGCACCTGAAGAACACCAGCAGAGCGTCAGAGGTTCTCACCTCCAGCTCTGGAGCAAACATCTCATTCAGCACAACTGCTGGCGTCAGCGGCGGATACATGATGGATCATAAGGCTAACTACAACAGCGCTGGAACAGCTGAGCTACATGGAGGTAATTCCAGCAGACTTAGAGCAAATTAAAGCTGTTCATTGGTTGATTCATTGATTTCACTCAGTCTAAATAGTGGATCGGTTGTACACAACAGAACATCTGCATTCGGCCCACAGGGGGACACGGGCAACAGAGTTCTGTCTGATGGATTCAAGATGAGTCCAAAGTGACTCAAAACTCATCTACATCGATTCAAAACGTATCTAAAGTGACTTTAAATTATCCCAGAATGACCTGAAACCTTTTCAAATGTCTCAGAGTTGGACTAGAACACCTGAAACCTGATCCGGAGCTGCTGCAGCTGGTGGGAGCGACCCGGACGACGTCATCGGTCCATCAGTTTGATAAAGTCACATTCATCATTCAATCAGCTGTCAGTGGCTCAAAGTTCATCCAAAAGCTAAACGTAGTAACTCAGCTGACGGGTTCTGGTTCTGCCTCAGATGGGGACCAGACCCGTCCAGCAGGTGGCGCTCACCTGGACCAGCAGCTTCATCAGCCGTCTGAAGCTCCCCGCCGTCGGTCCGTCGGCGGCGCCGCCCATCAACACGCCGAACAGCCGGCAGACCAGGCCCAGGTAGCAGCAGGTGTTGGTGTCCAGCCTCTCCGGGTTCCACCACACCTCACCTGTACGGTCACATGACCCGGCAGGTGAGCAGCCAGCCACACGGCCAGGACGACCAATCGGACGCTCGCTTACCTTTGAAGGAGGCGTCGTGACACCTGAGGGCCGAGATGAAGTCTCCGATCAGGCAGACGAGGACGGAGCCGAACTCCCGGTCCGCCGGCTCACCTGGCTGCTGCTCGCACCTGCTCAGGTAACGAGTGAGCGCCTCGGAGAAGGACGACGGATCAGAGACGGAATGCTGACACTCCTGGAAACACACGAGGAAGAAATCACTCAGCGCAGACACAGAGGCTGAAAATAACGCCTGAGATTCAAAAACATGATTTACTGTTTGTTTGTTTGTTTATTTACACGTTAACACAAAAACAACAAACAGGCAAAACTGTAACTAAAGTCCAAACTCTGTTTATAAATGTGTTCTTTTAAAGTGCTCGACTGCAACATTACGATGAACTGGATTAACCGACTCACCTGCTCGGCGCCGCGGAGCTCCAGCAGGCGGCGCTCCAGCAGCAGGTAGACCCTCTGAGCCGTCAGCAGGTGCTGCGTCTCGCTCAGCTCGCCCAGACCCAGCAGCAGCGTCCGGGTCAGAACCAGGAAGGACGTCTCCTGTCTGAGGCCAGAACCCGGCCGCTGCTCCACCAGCAGAGCCAGCTTCTCCAGCTGGCCAATCAGAGACACACACACAGGTCAGCTGACCGTCGGCCAATCACACGCTCACAGCGACAAGCGCTTTAAAAACATGATTAATTATATGAAATGACAAAAAATAAAAATAAAAAAATCCTCTGAACTCACGACACAAAATATACAAATATACACGTCTAACTGTTGTACGTTTGGAATAAATATAAATAAGTAAATAAACTAAAAATTGATTCATAATGAAAAATAAATCAAATAAATATAAATTAAAAAAAATAAATGAAACATATAAATAAATAAAATTAAATAAATAAAAAATAAAAAATAAATAAAATAAAAAATAAAATTGATAACAAAAAATTAATTAATTAAAAATAAAGAAATGAAAAATAACTAAATATAAATAAATAATAAAAATAAATAATAAAAATCAATAAAAGCTGCTTTCTGTGGCTGAAAGGGTTTAAAACACTTTCTGCAGGACCTCTAATATGAACATAATTATCAGTTTGACGGGCGTCACACAGCTGATGTGTCGGATCAACCAGCTTCAGAACAAACTAAAGGAACCAAAGCTAAAACAGAACAACTCAGAAAAACCATCAGATTTTCTGTTTTCTGACCAGTCACCTGCCAGGTGCACGTCTGTCGGGAAAATTAACCAAACTCAGCCTGTAATCGAGATATTTAATAAAATTAAAGTTATTCTTCATGAATCGTTTGAAATTTTCCTAAAATTCTGTTTGTTTAAAACAAGATTCTCTAAAAAACCCACTTCTGGGCTCCAGGACCGAGTCCGGCCAACAGAGAACCGTCCTGAACGCCGTTAGCTCGAGGTTCTGATTCTACAGCTTCTGGATGATCACCGGAGTGACTCGGTGACTCGTCTGCTCTCACGTGTCTGTCCTGCTGGTGGGTCAGAGGTTTAAGACAGAAACAGGAACTCACTGCGTCCCGTCTGGAGAAGTGCTCCATGCTGGCCAGGTTCTTGGTCAACGTGGAGACCAGACGTTCGTTTATCAAACCCACAAAGTCCGGGTCAGAACTTCTCTTCATGGCTTCGTCCAGCTCTGAGAGGAAACGACGACACGGTCAGACAACAATAATGACAACACACTGAACGCTGCAAATAGAAACCACCACCAGGCAGAGAATCCTGGGTTCTGTTGGGTTGTAACTGATTCTCCAGAACTCCTGACGTGGTCGGCTTTAGAACTCGTGTTCTCTTTAGATTTGTGGGGTTTTAGTCGCTCTGGTAACTTCACACCATCAGCGGTTCTGCTCTCGTTCTGCCTTCAAACCTCTTCTCAGCTGAACTCATCAAAAGGTTCTTCTTCTGTCTAAACCGAGTCCGACGCTTCTTTGAAGTCCTGAAAACACGAAGCGGCTCTTCGACTGAGCTCAAAACAAAACTGAGCTTTACTTGTGGCTAGAAACCCGCCGGTCGCTACCTGGAGCCCAGCCGAGGGTGAGCGGGTGCTGGTGGAGGAAGGCGGACCGGGCCAAGCAGCGCTGGAGGTCCAGCCGGGGCGACGTCGCCACCAGGAGGGGCAGCAGCCTCCAGCCGGTCCCCTGCACCAGCTCGGCGTCGCTTTTTCCCAGCCGGGGGTCGGACAGCAAACGCACCGCCTCGGTCAGGACGGGAAGCCTGAAGGGACACATTAGAGACAGTGACGGGTCAGAGAGGGACCAGGATGACCAGATGGTCACAGTTCAAAGCCCGCAGACGGGCTGGATGCTGCTATCTGAACAGCAACACTTTATTACCACAACGCTGTGGCGCATTTTGTTTTTCTGTTGTAATAAAGTTTGCTGGAGACTTTTTAAAGATCATCTTTGAGCTTGTTCAGACACATTCTGTTTAAATCCTCCGTGTATGAAGCGTTTTATCGATCCGTCTTTCTAAATATGTTCAGGTAATCCTGTTACTGGTTGTTTTATCTGACATCATGCTATGTTTTCTATAAGATCCCAGGAGCCACATCTACAGTTTTAATCCTGAACAAACACAGATTTAGTTAAAAATGGAACCAGCTAAACGTTCAGCATCGACCAGTTCAGCTGAACGTGTTTACTGGCAGCTGAACACAAACAGAACATTTAGTGGTTCATTAAATAACAGTCGTCAGTTAAAGCGGTGGGTCTCCTCAAATACAGCAGATACCTAAAACATCTAAAAGAAAAATGTCCTGAAAACACTTTAAAGATTACAAAATGAGTCAAACTCGTCTGTGAGCTTCCTCAGAACGAGCCAGACGTCCTTCATGCTGTTCATGTGGATTCAGTCAAACATGAGCCCGTCGGGTCCTTCACTGACCAGCGCTCGGACGGATCCGCTCGGTGCAGCAGAGACAGCAGACACGACACCACGTCTTCGGGCTCCAGAACGTCCAGAACAGCCTGAAAACCAGAAACCAGCCGTGAGCGTCCCGAATGTCGGATCGAACCTCCGTGGACGCGCTGACGCCTCCGGACTCACCTCCAGGACTCTGAGCGCCGCGGACACGACCGCCGGGGCGTCGTCCTTCAGTCGCTCGACCACGGCGTCCTTCAGGAAACCTTGGTCCAGACTCTGGTGCTGCTCAGAACAAAGCAGAATCAGAGACTTTGAATGGTTCCTGAATGAAGCAGCTGTACACGAGCTGAAGGTTCATCTGGACTCTGAAACGTGCTGGAGGCGGCTGATGGTTCGGTGCAGGTCCGCTCTCAGGCTCCTGGTTTTAACTGTGAATTAGTTTCTTCATTAATCAGCTGTTTGGGTCTAAAATGTCAGAAAACAGTGAAATATGTGGATCGGCTCGTCTCAGAGGTCTGCTTAGTCCAAACATCTTCAGTTAACTGTCAGAGGAAAGAAACCAGAAAACATTCGCTGAAGACGCTGAAACCACAGAAACCAGTTTGTCCAGTTTTCTGTCATTCTGATGCTTTTACTGCATTTCACAATATTAGAAGATTTTTGTTGATTGTTTTTTAAGCAACTTTTTTCTTTTTTCTTTAGCAGATCTTTCATGGAGCTTTTTAATCTTTTTTTTTTTCTGGAAAATATTGTGACTTTTGAAAAAATAAAATAAATCTTTTTGGGGGATATTTTATTTAAACATTTTCTGCATTTTATAAATTCATTTTAGGACTTTCTATTAATTAATCCTGAGAAATGTAATACAAATGTTATAAGTATATTTCTTTGGACAGTATTTAAATATTTTGAAGTAATCTTATTATTAAGGGTTTTTCTTTTTAAAATTTTTATTTTTCTTATTACAACATTTTATTAATATTTTTTATACTTTGTAGATATTATTATCCACATTTTTTGGTGATTTTTTAAAAATAATATCTTACTGAAACTTCTGTGATTTTCAGGAGGGATTTTATATATACAGAATTTTTTTAAATTGCAATTTTTCAGATATAATTGTTTTGCAGACAATTTATTTGTAGTTTTTCAGCATTTTATTAATTATTTTTTGGACAATTTGTTAATATTTTCCAGTAGTTTAATCCATTTTAGGGGGATTTATTTTTATTTATTTAATTTGAAATATTTTTTTACATTTATTTATTTTTTTAAAGTTATTTTTTGGCCTTTCTGCTTTTATGACACAGGACAGTTGATGGAGAGCGACAGGACAGTGGGGAGGAGAATGGGGGGATTGGAACCCACAGCCCTGTACATGGGTCGCCAGCTGTAGCGGCGGCCCCAATTTATTTTTAATTTAAATGTTTTATTCCTGCATTCTAATGACATTTTATTCATATTTCTATCTTACAGTACAGAAGTGTTTCTGTTCTGATGATTCTAAAGCTTGTTGCTGTGATTTGAAAAGAAAACTAAATTGAAATCTCATCTGCTGCGTTTGCGTCACTTTTAAACCTTTGGCTCATTTCGGCCTTTAATTAAAACCTGAACTTGTGCTTCAGAATCCACAGATGTTCTGACACACGATGCAGTGTAGAAGCAGAAAAAACAAGGAGGCCCAGGATCGCGCTTTGAGGTGCACCGTCAGGAAGACGTGAACCCGCCTCCTGAAGCCTGCTCTGTGTCTGCCGTACCTGTCCAGAGGTGACGATGTCCATCAGATGCTCCACAGCAGAGACCCGGACTGAAGGCTGCGGGTGTTTCAGGCTGAGCAGCAGCGACGTGTCCGAGTCGCCCAAAATCTGAAAACACAGTCAGGTAGCTGCCGAATTAATTTATTAAATCTGCAACAATCTTCTTACAAACAGGTTCACAGAAAACAGAAATGTGAAGACCAACAGACTCTAAACGAGTCTGCTTGTCCATTTATATTCTAACTCTACTGATAAGATGTACAACAGCTCACCTGGAACTTTCCGCTGCTCATCGACAGAGACAGGAACTGATGGAACAGGTGTTTCTGCTGCGTGTCGCTCACGTCGGTCACGTGACCTGCGAGGACGCTGTCCAGAGCGCCGCTGTACCTGACGGAGGACAAACAGCTGAGGACGCTCTGATGCCTATAAACTTACATTAAAGCTTTAATGTTTACATGCTGTCTGACCGACGGAGCTCCTCCACACCACCAGGGGGCAGCACCCTCCTCCAGACATGCTCAGTAGAGACCAGGACTCGCAGACACAGTGTTCACATCAACCATACTAGAGTTTAACTGTCAAAAACGACAGATTCAGACGTACTTGGACTCGAACAGTCGAACTAGAGGCAGCAGGCGTTGGTCGAGTGCCGACATGTCTTCAGCAGAGAGTTCGGTCTGACTCAGATACTCGTCCAGCAGCAACCTGCAGGAGGAACACGGCAACACTCAGGACGGCAACAGCAACACGAACCCATAAAACCGAGCAGGACTCGGACTGGCCGTCTAAAGACTTGAATTGTTACTGAAACTGGTCCTCTTAAGCCTTGAGAGGTGTTTCTGACTGGTTATCTAAAGACCTGACTCGGACTAGCCCTCTAAAGACCTAATACTTGATTTCTACTAGTCCTCTAAAGACTTGAGACGTGACTTGGTTTAGACATCTACAGATTTGAGAATTGGCTTGGACTAGTCCTAAACACTCAATTTGAACTCGTCCTCTAAAATTTGAGGCACGACTCAGAACAGTCCTGAAAAGACTTGGCACTTAACTCGGACTTTCCCTCCAAAGACTTGAGTTGAAACAGCTCTCTAAAAACTTAATACTTGACTTGAACTAGTCCTCTAACATCCTGACTCAGACTAGTCTTATCAGATGTGACTCGGTGCTCAGTCTCAGCAGGTATGGAGGTTGTGGTTTACCGAGCCACGGTCCGGTCCAGGTCCTTGGTCAGGGGGACGGACTCCAGGACGGACTCCAGCACTCTGAGCTCGTCCGTCTCGGTCTCACCTGTAACGGAGGACAACAGGTAAACTCTGACCTCACCTGTGAAGCTGAAAATGTTTTATATGCAGATGTTGCGGGTCTCACCTGAGCTGCCGGCGAACAGGCCGTGGACCAGGTGAGGCAGCAGGTAACGCAGCAGAGGACTGACATCATGAACCGCCGCCATGACCTGCAGCGTCGGAACCAGCGCCGGCATCGAGCACAGACGGCCGACGGCTCTGAACGCACACGAAGAAACAATCAGGTGAGGTGACGGCACACCTGCACCGAGCATGTTCAAAACCTCCCCACCAGGACTCGGGTCCTACCTGGGTCCGGCGGCGCCCTCCTTCTGGTTCTGCAGCAGCACGGTGAGGCAGCCCAGACCCTCTTTGGCCAGAACCGGCTCTTTGACTAGAGACTTGCTGATGTGAACAGCGAGACTGTTGACAAGACTCGACTCCATCACCACCTTCACCGCCAGCTGGCACACGATCATGTAGGTGGCGGCTTTGTAGTCCGTCAGGGGCGACTTGAGACCCTGGAGGGACCACGAGACCACGTCACCACAGGGGGCAACATGTTCAGTACAGATACAGAACCCGAGTCTCTAAGTGCTTGAACTGACAACACAATATTACTGGACTAGGTCGAGTCCCCGGTCAAGACTGACCAGTCCTAGGTCAACATCAACAAGTGCAGTCCAACCGGTTCCTTGTCAAGACGCTCCAGGACATCCAGTCCCGGTTTCACACCAACTAGTCAAGACCGTTGTTTGTCACTCTTTAAAATGCAAACATCATTTCTATGCTTCAAGAGAATCGTGATCCACATCGAGTCCGTTACCTTCTGGACGTAGGGCAGCAGTTTGGAGATGATGGTGTCGGACACTTTGTCCACAGCGTCCAGAGCAGGAACGATGGTGGAGGCGTAGAAGGAGAAGATCACTCTGAGCTGGGAGCAACTCCCCGAGTGTCCGGAGTACGCCTGAAGAGAAGAAGAAGAGTTCAGCACGTTCACCCTGAGGACCACCTGTCCTTCATCTGTACATGGTCCCACTCAGCTCACCTGGATGGACCTGGTCACCATGGTGCAGATGAAGTCCATGAAGCTCAGGTCGCTGTAGCAGTGGTTGATCAGGGCTCCTCTGGACAGCGGCACGCCGGGTTTCTAAGGCAACAGCATCACAGGACACACATTAGTACTGTTGGTATGATTGTTACGCCACAAAACAGCCAAACATCAGGTTCAGGTTCAGGTTCGGCACTCGAAGGCACCAGATGTGAGGTCTGGTTGTCGGCTGACCTGCAGGCAGTGCAGCCAGTTCCAGCGGTTGGTGGCGTCTTTGATTTTGAGGAGCTGCAGGACTCTGACGAACACGTTGGTGTCGTGATACGGCAGTGCGCAGGACAGCAGCATGTCGGCGTTATACAGCTGGATGTGGAAGCTGCAAAACAAAACACCTGACGTCAACATCTGGACTTTACCGTCGCCTGCAGAGCGAAGCAGGAAACACGAGCAGCCATGTTGCTTTAAACAGCAAAGACTAGAGTCGGCTACTGGAACATATCAGCAGTGAATCCTTCTGTTAAAACCAGCATCACTTCTGAGTGCACCGATCATTCCAACCAAGGAACCCGAAATCTGACGTCTCCTCAAGTTCAACAAGTCCCAAGTCAAGACCAACAAAAAGCCAGCGTGAAATCAAATCCCAAGTCAAGTCCTAAGTTGAACCCACAGTCAAGTCAAAAGTCAAGACTAACGAGTCACAGAAACCAGCATGTCCCACACTGCAAAATGAATTGTCAAGTCCAACCACCTCCAAGTCATGACCAACAAGTCAAGAGACAGAAGTCCAGAGTCAAATCAAAGTAATGAATATAGTTTTTCCTGAAGTGCCACTGAAGCAGCAGGTTACTGATGTGGTTTACTGATCCGTACTTCATCACTTAGAGCTGACCTGAAATGTGGACTCTTTACTAACAAAGTGAACAACACTTGTGCATGAGAGCAGCATTTCAGAGAAGCAAGAAAACCTTGAATCTGGCGTTTTTTCAGTGGAGTCTGGCATGTAAATTAGCTCCAGCCCAGGAAGTCGTCCTGTTTCTGCTCTGGTTCGTTAGGGTTAATTAATAAATGTGTCTAATAACTGAGCTGCGGTGGTCCGAGCTCCGCCCGCAGCACAGACTCCATGCGACGGCGTGCAGCGTACCGGTGAACCAGCCACTCGATGCACTTGTGCGCCGGTTTGAGGAGGAAGTACGGGCAGAGGCGGGTGAGGAAGAGCGAGATGCCGGCGTCCAGCTTCTCGTTGACCTCCTTGGACTGGACGCTGCGCTCCAGAGTCAGCGACGCCCGGCTGAACAGAGTGTCCTGGAACTCCAGGAAGGCCGGTTCGATTCCCAGCAGCTCCTCCAGCCCTGTGCAGCCTGAAGGGAGGACAGGCGGTTAGAGGGGAAGCTGTAAACCTGGAGCAGGACGAGGAGGACGGACTCACCGAGGGCGTAGAAGGTGCTCCTGTCCATTGTTGCAGCATCTTTGGGGTCGAAGAGCAGCGAGGCGACGTCCCGACGGGCCAGCAGGTTGGAGTCGCTCTGAGGCAGCGCGAGCCTCTTCAGCTGGTGGGCCAGCGACGTCATGATGAAGGGAAATCTGACAGAGAAAAACAGTTAATGCCTCCTCTAAGGAAAACCTTAAATCTGCAGTTTTCTCAATGAGCTTTGGCACATAAATGTGCTCCCCATGTTGGCTATGATTTATAATTCTGCACGTCAGCTTAAGGCCTGGGGATAACCGAATGTTTGTTTAAAGTATTTACCTTATTGCTGGAAAATAACACAGCTGAATTCAAAAGTGCATCAACTGAATTTTAGAACAATGTTAACATGACTTCTACATAGAGTGTAACGTTTCCTATCAGCAAGGAAACCTTAAATTTGCGGTTTTCTAATAGGAGTTTGGAATGTAAACTAGTTCCAGTCTAGCAAATTAGTTTAAGACCAAGAAGCGGCAAAATCTGTCTGAATTATTTCTTCAAAATTAAGAAAAACTATATTAAAATAACTTAATCATGTTAAATATAACTGATAAATATAAAATGTCGATCATTTCAAATGAACAAACCCGGGAAACTGACATCTCTGTAGCGCATACCAGATGCTTTACAAATGGAAACCTTAAATCTGCAGTTTTTTGATGGGAGTCTGGAATGTCAACTGGTTTCCGGCAAGAAAAAAAGTCCTCCTGAAAACTTAGCAGGACTGAAGTAGCGGGTTACTACTAGAATTTATTGATTCACGCTTTAATTAAAGTCTCTAAACTGACAACAAACATTAAAGATGTCTAGTAACTGAATAGCCACCGTTAGAAGTGATGAAAACTGTCCAAATACTTACATCGAAAAGAAGTTTAAATATATATGTAACCAACTTGTAAATTAAATATAATACTGCCGAATTGAACAGCGGATTATTATAATTCAAAGAAAGCGTTAATACTTGTTTTGTATCGTAGGATCATTTAGGATCACCGAAGGAAACCTTAAATCTGCAGTTTTCTCAATAAAATTCTGTATGAAAATTAGCTTCACACTAGAAACTTAGCCTGCTTCTTGTCCAGCATCTTCTGAAAGTAAACCGGAGCACTGACCACATCCAGAGAGCCTTAAATCACTCTGCACTTACTGACACAACTAGTTACTGTTAAGTTAAGCAGCTCAACCAGATAGTTAGCGCTGACTACTGGAACACGAGTCTTAGCTAACTTTACAAAAACACGATTCTGCGGTGAAACAAAATTAATTTATTTCGCTTCTAAAGATCCACAAACATTCTCAAACACAACAGAACAAGAATCAGAGTAAGAATTAAAACGTGAACAGCACGAACCTGCGGCGTGTTTCTATGAAGGCTTCAGTTCAACACATGGACACACGTTGTTGGGAGCGGAGCGCTTCTACATCCGGGTCACTGCTGGTCCGCTGATGTTTCACCCCTCACACTTCCGGCTTCGTCTTTTACCGACGGACACCATTAATTTAGAAATAAATCAGAGAAAATCACAAAAATCTAACCCTAAACGTTGTTTTCTTTGAGCGACAGTTTAAACCACAAATTGTCGTTACTTTATAACGATTTATTACCGATTTACGGTTGAAAAAAGTTCAAACCATTCACACACCGGAACCATCATATAATTAAAAATGATAACACCTTGGTGGTAACTGACCCTCGACCTTGATTTTTTCATTAACTAGAAGAAGCTAAACACCTCTCATATAAAATATTAAATAACGTACAGACACTCATCAAAGCAGAGTTTGGCTGTTTGTGTTTACATTATACAACACTTCCAGTTAATAAAAACTTAAATGACAAAAGAAAAGAGATCCACCTCAATCTGATAACCAACAACAAAATATATGTATGAACACATAAATGTGTCTGGACTAATGATGTAGTTATACAACATAACATGTTTTCAGTAAACGTGTCAGTTTTTCTCTTTATATTTCATTATTTTATGTGGAATGAACTATTTTCAGACAAGAGTTAGTGCCTAAAAAATTACGTTTTTATGCAATAAGGACATTTTCTTCATTATTGTAGATCCTTTTACTTGGAGACCTTTAAGAGAAGTGTTTGGTACTTTTACACAGAAAGTGTTTCTGAGGGTTGCTGCAGCTCTCGGAGGGAGGGAATCATCTCGGAGAAATCTCGGCTCTTTGGCGGTGTTCGTCCTCCCGCCGCTGGGGGGCGTCCCACTCCGCCACCGCCGCCACTATAAAGCTGCGGTCAATTAGCAGCAGCCGGTGTCCGGCAACTGTCCGTTAGTTTAGTTCTTTAGTTTGTCAGTGGACATTTTCAACACGTTTCTGTCTGAAAATTACGTTTCCGAGTAGTTTTAATCTTTGCGGCGCTAAGCGGCGTTTATAAACCGGAACACGGACTAAACTGCCCCCCGCCGGCTGGAACCAACTCCCGGACCCAGCCAGCAGCCTGTAGCCGGCGGGCCCTCCTCTCCCCTCGGCTGTGCAGCAGACTGCGGCCCGGTGGGAGCTCCTCTCACGGTAGGCGCTTTGTTTCTCCGTGTTTGTGTTTTTAACGCGGTTGAGAGCTAAGCTAACGTTAGCAGTTCGTTTTTCGCGGGGCCCCGCCCATCGCGGTATTTTATTGGTCCTCTGGAACGTCAGTCGTCAACGCTCCCCGCTGATTGGCTGATCGCTGACAGGCGGTAGTTAAAGGGCCGCAGACACGTGAGAAGGAGGAGCAGTGAAGCGGATCAGAAGTTGGGATGTTTGTTTGTTGTTCTGGAGAGTTTTGGACATAATGATTTAAATATGTTTTTACACGTTTTTAACTTTTATTCGAGTTGTCCTGCACTTCATTATTCATGTTCGGGGCCTGATGTTTTAGTAGTTTCAGAACTGTGTCATCATTTTACCATTCGGGGCAGTTTTCAGTAGTTTTTGTTTTGGGGTATTTATCAGAGTTTCTGATATTTGCTTCGTCTTTTCCTGTATTTTGCAAAACAAATTGTTAGATATAATTAGATTTTTATCCATTATTACTTTCTGATTTGTTTGTTTTCTTTTCTTTTTGAGGTGTTTTCCATGTTTCTGGTATTTCATGAATATTTTTCACGTTTTATTTTTTAGACATTTTTCCTTGAGCGGAAGCTGCCACTAGATCACCTGCAGATTAATTTCCTGTTGACTATAGAACGCTGCAAACGGGTTTTATGATGGTGTCAGTGTTTCTGAATTGTTTGGACTTTTCTGGTGCTCTATTAACTCTTTCAGGGAATTCTATGAACAGTTTTAAGGAACATATCAAGCCTTTTATTATTACACTAATTTGCACAATTTAATATTTAATAGTTTTATTAGACATTTCAATATGATTAATTTTGCTCTTTTATGTTCCTGCTTTTTGTTTTTTCTTTTATTTCCTATCATTCTATTGATACTGAGATAGGATTTATAATGTTGGTGTTATTTTGATCCTTTTTGTTCTGATATTATTCATATTTCAGACATTTTTTTCAGTTGTTTCAGAGCTCTTTGACACGTTTGTTGATACTACAGCTGTCAGTTGATTATCATGATAGCTCCAGACTAGTTCCTGTAATTCTAGATGATGGAATAATGAAAGTACAACCAGAACCTCAGGGACCTCTCGGCTAATTTCTTTCTTTCTAATTGATTTGGTTCCCAGAGCAGCGACGATCAGTAAATTATCGATGGATGATTTCGTCTGCAGCTGTTTTTACTGAACATCACTAAAGATCTGAAGGCTTCACCTCTAAACCAGCCGGTGTTGTCAGAGTAAAGTCGGACCCGCTGATGAGGGGAGAAGGCTCTCTGCTTCCTCCATGTTGTCCCTGAGGAGACGGATGATGGGGATATTGATCGTATTGATCTCGTGACTCGGCGTCTGTTCTGCGTCCTCAGCAGGTGTGTGTTCAGACAGCGCCCTCCTGAGGCGAGCAGCAGCTCTGCAGACATCCCATAATAGGCCGAAGGGCTGCTGGGTAATCGGAGGCTTAGAGAAGCAGCAGCTGGAGGTAAGTTCCTGTTTACCTGCAGCCCTCTCACCTGTCCGACGCCGTTTCACACGTTCAGCTGCTCGAGGTTGTTGCTGCAGATCAGCACAGACGACGGTGAGCAGCTCAGATCAGCCACGGAACATAGAAATCCATTTATATTTTCAGTTTTTGAAGTTCTCATCTGGTCCTCTGTTCACTGATGAAGCATTTAGAGCCAGAATGAACGTCCTGGAGTCGCTATAGCAAGAGTGACACCTTGTTTATCCATCCATCCATCATCTCTACACCTTCATCCTCACTAGGGTCATGGGGGGCGGAGCCTATCCCAGCTGACTCAGGGTGAAGGCAGGTTCACCTGGACAGGTAACCAGTCTATCACAGGGCTACACTTAGAGACAGACAACCAAGCACACTCACATTCACACCTACGGACAATTTACAATCACCAATTAACCTCAGCATGTTTCTGGACTGTGGGAGGAAGCCGGAGAACCCGGAGAGAACCCACGCTGCACGGGGAGAACATGGAGACTCCACGCAGGAAGATCCCGGGTGTCCTCACCGGGACGCCAGCCGGCGACCTTCTAGCTGTGAGGCCACGGTGCTAACCACAGAGACACCTTATTTATAAGAAATGTGAACGTTCTTGTTGTCTCTGACCTTCTGGTAAACAGACGGTCCATCATCAGTGAGTAGATGAAGCCTCGTTTAGCTGCTGCTTTGTGAATGTTCCTTCTCGGTCTTCTCATAGATGAGTCAGGTGTTGACAGACTAAATGTGCAGAAGTTCTAACTTGATAGAAACACCTTCAGGTTCCACCTTCATGGACCACGTTTGGCAGGTTGTTTTTAGTGAATTGCAGACGTTTTCTGAATAATGAGTCGGTTTCATCTAAATTATCAGAAACGAGACTTTATTGTGATTCAGCGTTTTGAAGCTAAACAGGAAGCTGCTGTGACTGGATGTTCTCATCCACAGCACGTCGATGTTCGGTTGCAGTCGCAGCGCCACCTGCTGGACACCAGAGTTCAGCCGGATGTCTGCAGACGACGTGACTGGCGGCTGCTCTTCCATCCGTTAGCTGAAGCGTGAACGTGGGAGTTGCTTCCTGAACCTAAAGCCTCCACTTTGCTTTTGTCCCAGTAACGGTGGTGTGGAGCTCTTCCACTGGTGGACTGGTTTTATTATCAGGCCTGCTCCACGGTTGTTCAGACGTTGACCCTAAATGCAAAAAACTGTTTTATTTTCTAACCAAACGGCTCTGATTGGCTCCATGATCGACTCTCTCGGAGCTCCTGATGGTGCCGATCACAGGAAAACAAATCGGCTTCTCAGGGTGAAAAATAAAGATTTATTTGAACACTTCAGATGTTCACCGTCATGTGCCTGGTTTGTATGATTCTATCAGAGCAGGCTGGAGAGCAGATGGACATGTCAGCGAGAACATGAACTATCAGGACTCCGTTATCTGATCAGAAGCTGTCCACAGTGACGTGAACCCAGGAACGGCTGAGCTGGAATCGTCTAAAATATGGTTCTGTCAGAGCCCAAACCATCTGAAAGTAGTTTGAGACTGAAGCTCTGAATCCTGAAACGTCCACTGGAGGGCAGAGTTCAGAGCCAACAGGAAGTGAGACGGCAGGTGGAAGGTGGGAGGGTTCAGGTGACGTCTGCAGGAGTAAAATCTAAATGATCTGATTTTATGGTTAAAGAGTGACATCGCTCACTGTTGTTGATTCAACCTGAGATCATGTGACTCAGTGTGTGTTTGTACTGTGTGTGTGTGTGTGTGTGTGTGTATAGTGTGTGTTTGTGCTGTGTTTGTGGGCGGAGTCTGAGCAGCTCACTGACCTGCAGCTCTAACAGGAAGTCGTCTAATCAGGTTTAAGGTGAACCTGAACTGCTGCCACTCGGCTCGCTGTGTGTTCAGCAGTGTGTTGCTGTGCGATGTGTGTGTTGTTGTGCGATGTGTGTGTTGCTGTGTGTCCGTGGAGGCTGTGATGCGTGAAGACGAGGACCTGCTGAGTCTGGGCTGGACTGATCTGTGTGTATCCGGCTGGCCGTTCTTCTTCTGTGGTGTCTGTATGTAGGTCAGAGTGTGATCAGGCTGCCGGCTTTACCGTCCTCAGAGCGACGCTGCTGCTGCTGCTGGCTGTGGGTCAGACCGATCAATACACTGATCAATACGGCGATCAATACGGCGATCAATACACTGATCAATACACTGATCAATACACCGAACAATGCATTGATCAATACACCGATCAATCCAGCAGCATGGAGACTTCTCTGGTCTTTGTTTCCTTCTGTGATCAGTTTATTTGAACTCTGCTGTTTTATGATGTTAGTTTGTAGATTTTTTTCAGATTCATTCAAAGCAGGAGGTTTTATTAAATGTTCAGGTTTTTAAAAAGTGTTTTCAGATTCTTTCTGACTAGATTTGGGAGCGTTTGTTTCTCAGAGGTTAACTGAACATCGTCACAGATTTCTGTCATCGTGTTGATTTTTTTCACTCATATAATTTTTCAGTTTTTGTTCTTCCTACATTTTATTAATCCTTTTTTAAATGTTTTAGTTCTATTTGTGATGTTTTCAGTGTTTCATTCAGTTTTCTATGTTTTTAGTAATTGTGTTTTCCTCCTCCTCAGCTCCAGTTTCTCCTCGTCGGACTCGGACTTGGACTTGGACTCGGAGCAGCAGGTCTCGTCCCTCCAGACGGACGTCATGTCCAGACGCAGCCTGCGGCTGGACGACGGCGTCCTCCACCGCAGCCTGCCGCTCAGCAGCGCCTCCTACAGCGCAGGAGGAGGCAGCCGGAGGAGCAGCAGGTCGGTGTGGACCTTCTCCACCTTCTCCACCTCCTCCTCCGTCTTTGCTCCTTCTCACCTCCTCTGTCCTCCTGCAGGTCTCTGAAGCTTCGTCCTCCTCACCCTCCGTCCGTCTCCTGCTCCGAGTCGCTGCTGCAGCAGTCGATCCACAGCGACGCCTCGCTGCTGTCCTCGCTGCTGGACCAGTCCTCCGTCCAGGACGCCACCACGCTCGACTCCTTCTGGGGTACGGTGCTCCTCTTTGGCCTCAGTTTGTCCTGCAGAACCTTCAGTCAGGTCTTAACGCTGATCTTCCTCCTCAGGTCTGGACCACGACGTGGATCCCAAAGGTGAGTCTCACCAGAAGACCTCATTTCTTCTGATCCTTCTGTTAAACAGCTGCTGACTGTCACCAACCGAAACACGTCCAGCTGGACTGAAGGCATCTCAGCAGATGTTCTGAATGTTCCTCAGAGCTCAGAGGGGTTCCACCTGAATCACAGATGAGCTCACTGCTGTTTTCCACTAAACGAGATCAGAGCAGCTGCAAACCTTCAGGTCGTTTCTGAGAATTAGAAAACGTCAGCTGCTCATGTCGGCGTCTGACTGGTGATTCTGCAGCTTTTCTCTTAATATTGTGAATTTATGGCACTTTTGAGGGATTTTGTTCCCTTTTGTGGTGATTTTAGATCTTTTGTCATCAGGTTGTGTTGTTTTTGTGGTGGTTTGATAACTTTATGGTTTTTGTTTTTTTCCTGGTGACTTTGTGCACTTCTGTCAGGATGTTGTGGACTTTTGTAGTGATTTTGCACCTTTAGTGTTTTTTTGTGTATTTTTTTGTTGTGCTTTTTTTATTTTTTTTTGCTGTAACTTTCCATATGTTTGTGGTGGTTTTGTGTCTCGCTGTTCTTTGTGTAATGATCACAGACTCGTATTAATCCTGGATCAAATCCTCTGAGGATCCAGCAGAAGAGCTGCTGAGGAATAGAACCCAGACCGTCAGCTGCTGCTCTTAGACCATCTAGCTTCCTGGTTCTTTGCAGCCGTTCCTCCCTGATTGTGTCTCTCTGACCAGTTTGTCTGTTTGGGCTGACTTAGTTTCCCCTTTGTCCTGGTTTGTGTCTCTGAGGTCTGATCTGTTGCTCCGTCTCAGTAAAACTCAGCTGTGACGTCCGTCCCTTGGCCTCATGGACGGCTGGTTTGCGTTGCAGAAAGCACCATGATCGCGGAGCAGAGCAGCTTCGAGGCCGACGTCACGCTGACCGGATCCACACCGCCGGTCCAGACGCTCAGCAGAGTTTACTGTAAAGACTGTGAGCTGCACTCGGACCAGAGGGAGGCTGGGAACACCTACAGCTCCTCCAGGTTCACCTCCTGCGCCTCCTCCTGCTCCTCGGCGTTCACGCCAGCAGGAAACCCGTCGGAGCCCAGAGACACCGACACCTCCACCATCTACTGCCGAGATCGGAGCCGCAGAGGCAGAACAGGTGAGTTCTGAACGGTTCCATCCGTCAGAAAGCACCTGATGAACACGGACCGGGTCAGACTGAGGTTTCATGTTTGTGATGTTGCTCACAGCTGCTGTAGCTTCTGATAAAACATCTCTGACCGAACTCTATTGATCAGTCCTTAATCAATCAACCGGTTCCTCCAGAACCTCCTCAGAACATCTGGTTCTGTTTCTGCAGCACCTTTATCTACTGACCAGAGTTCTACCTTCAGACTGTGAATGTTCCAGAGGTCCAGGTCCTTCAAGTCCACAGAGGAGGGTCCAGATTGATCACTTTAATGGACTTTTTCCATCATTTCTGAGCCTCAGAACTTCATCAGTACAGCAGATAGACACATGACATTTAGGAGGAAGAACACATCTGGGTTCTGCTAGAACCTGACACCAGGTCAGTTCTTCAAGGACCTGGAACTCTGGAATATTCACAGTCTGAAGGTAGAACTCTGGTCAGTAGATAAAGGCACTGAGGACCAGAACCAGAACCAGATGTTCTGAGGAGGTTCTGGAGGAACTTTATTTAGTTGACTCCTGTGTGGATTCCTTCCATCACAGGGATCCTGGTTGTTCAATCTGGATCTGCAGTTTTTTGTTTCTGCAGGGACGTTAAAAGGCTCCATGAGCTTCTGGAAGCTTCTTCTGTGCTTTGTCAGATCTTCTGTTTCTCTGGACTGGATCTCCAGAAGCTGCTGCTGGTTGTTGGTCTGTAACCTTCTTGTTCCTCAGCAGGTTTTCTGGCGTCCATGTGGGACTCATCAGCAGCAGCTGTGGCATCGCTGTCAGCTCTGGTTTACCTCCAGCTGCTGCAGAAGCCTCATGATGTGGCAGGTAGAGGACGTGTGGGTCAGACTGGAGGTGGAGGGTCACCTGGGCAGGTAGAGGA